ATTTAAATGTATGCCTGAGAAACACATAATATTGGCCCTTTAAACTTTAAACTCTCTCTCTTTATTTATGTATATTAAATGAGATGATGGAAATTTTAGTCCCTGTATGAATTCAGCTCAGTTGTTAAAGGGAAAAAGTTTATTTATTAAAATAGTTTGCAAATACAATGCCATAGTTTCACTTTGGAAATAGTGAAATAATACAAAACCATCAGGAAATCCCGCAGAGGCTGACTCCCATTCATTTTTGTGCCCTAACCCTGACTCTTTACCCTAAATAAGGAGTGTCTAATCCTGGTCCCAAAAGGCCAGTATCCTTCATGTTTTACTCGTTTTCCTACTTCAACACAGCTTATTCAATGGTTGAGCAACAACTTCAAGTTCTGCAGAAGTCTGTTAATCAACCATTCATTCGAATCAGGTGTGCAGAACCAGAGGAACCTCTGAAACATGCAGAATAGCGGTCTTTGAGGACCAGGATTGGTCACTCCTGCCTGAAATCTAACCACCCCCCAGTACATAACTAACCCTAACCCCACTATTAATTCAAAAAAGGCATTCCACTTTTAGGTCCCTAAAAGGACTATGTAACAGAAAAGGTCCTAAAAGGTAACAAAAACCAGTACACACACACACACACACACACACACACACACACACACACACACACACACACACACACACACACACACACACACACATCTCTACCAGTTTGAAACTTGTACACAGGAACTATTGTTACTGAAAAACCCAAAATGTTTTAAGTTATCCATAAATATTTTTCCCCAACTTGAAAAGCTGAGACTATTTCTACAAATAGGCCCAGATTGCTGCTGCAGTATATACAGATGTTTACCAGTTGTTTGCTTTGGTTTTGTTTGGATTAAGATGCTTCAGCAGCCTTTGAAATGGAAATAAGTGCAGTTGAGGTTCAGTGAAACAATGACATTTATATGAACCTTCCTTGGAGTTTGAACAGAAAACAAGTTCACAGCTTGTTTCATTGCTGTTACTAGACCCCAGACTGAACCTCTGCCTGTTTTGTTTGTTTGTGATCCCAGACGCAGAAACTAGAAGTGAAAATATACCTGATTCCTGGTTTTCATGTTTCAGGTAAAGCGGTTCCATCTTAAAGGCTCCGATGATGTCTGCTCTCTCCCTCACCCTGTCGATAAACAGAAACACATGAGCTTCTATTATGTTCAGCATTAGGCTCCACGTGTGTGTGCAAACTTTGTTCCAGTTTAATGTTAACATAACCCAGAATTATCTAAATGTAGTCAAAAATCACCAGTATGAAGAATCAGCTGTCGGCCTTCAAGGAAACTTTTTTTTGAACAAACTCAAAGTTACAGTCAGTCTTTACTTTGATCCTCTGATAATGAACTGGCATTTATTTTTACTTCAAAGTGATCCAGAAGATGTAGGATAGACTGCATTTTAGACTCAAAATATAAAAACAAAAAAATCACTTTTGTTTTAAAGGAGATATATCATGTTTTCTAATCCTTTTAAACATTTAAATCATTCAGCTGTGGTCTGTATTAAGTGGAACTGCAGTGATTTGATCTGAATTCCTCCTTATTGTAGCTCGACAAGCCCCTCGTTCACCCCTTTTCTGAGGTGTGTCTCAAAGCAGCTCGTTTTGAGGCTGTCTCTTTAAATCCAAATGAGGCACTCCACACCCCAACCCTTTCTATCTTCCAGAGCAGTCCAATCTAGTTTAATAGAGGGGTTTAGAACTACATAACTGCACACAAGTGTTTGTTTGTTTGTTTGTTTGTTGTTTTGTTTGTTTGTTTGATTTTTAAGTCCAGTAGTATGCAAGTCCAGAGTTTATTTGGCAGTTCCGTCACAAATAATTTTGACGTAATAGTTCAGAAAACATCATAGAAAAAACTGAACATGTTGAAAAATATGACCCAAACAGAATATAGATATCTTTGCAGTGCCATGAGAGACTGAACTCAACTTTTCTGCACTTCTATGAGACACAAAGTAAACAACAAAATGCATTTTTCAGCTAAAAAAGTGGATTTTCACATGATAAAACCCCTTTAAATCCTCAAACTTTTTAAATAATTTGAGGCAATATGATCCCACTCATTACAGTTTTAGTGGCAGTGTGCCAGTGCCAGGCTGAGGTAGAGGTATGAATAAAAAAAATCTTGTCGATCGTTTTTCATTGACTCTATTGCTAGGTCTGACACCATTTCAACCTTGTGGAGAGCAACCATTGTTTTGTTGATGCTGACAGAAAAGGCAGGTGGAAGGCATAGATCTATATTTACCACACGAATACTAAAGGTGTGGATGGACATTAGCTCTCATTGTTGTTTTACAGCATCGTGAGTCACTGTTTAGACAAACAAGGATATACTCTGACAATCAGTATGATCAATGTGATTCTCTATAATATTTTTTTACTGACACATCATACAGGTGAATTATATGGGGTGCTGTTTGTAAAGTTACACAGTTAAAAAATACCACCAATATTTTTGTTTTATTTAGCCTTTTATAGGAAAAAAAAGAACAGATTTATTTTTCAAAGTCAGTTTTTCACCATATGATTCATACATTTATAAATGTCATAGTTTATAAACTAAATATTTAACACCAATATTTTTGTTTTATTTAGCCTTTTACAAAGGAAAAAAGAACAGATTTATTTTTCAAAGTCAGTTTTTCACCATATGATTCATACATTTATAAATGTCATAGTTTATAAAGTAAATATTTAACTTACAAATTAAATATTTAGTTAACAAGCTAAATAT